TGGCCGCATTGGTTCATTAACTAACCATTCTATATAAGCACCTGTGCTACTTTCAAGCAGGTGGTAAGCAATCAGATTTCCTTTTTCAATTCCATCTTTCATCTTTCAGTTCTTACTACGGTGCTAGGCATAAGACAAGCCGTACTGACTCGACGGTGATTCGCGAACCAATGTGCCCAGCTGGGTGCCCCGAAAACACACGCCCCGCTTGTACCTTAGACACAAGCAGGACCAACCCATCACCCTCCTGTCCTGGGGTCCTAGGTCCCCGTCCAAACTAGGACTCCAAGCCCCCGCCCCTGAGTCCCGGACTCAGTGCGGTGCAAGGACCTCCTCCACCAAAAATAACCCTGACAGTCGGTCCAAAAAGAGCTGGAACCCACGACAAGAGAGCAACAAGTCTTCCAAGCGCCCATACCCAAGTATGTGCTCGGGACAATAGATCTATGACTTGCCTCGATGGATTATGCAACGACCGGTCCTTAACCGACACAGACAGGGAAAACAGTGTAACCAAGTCATGCCCCGCGTCCACGGTGACACAACCTCTTACACCCACCAATACCCAAACCATATCCCTGTCCGGTCACCATTTTTCCTTTCCACCATTTATATCTTCCAAGTGATAATAATACAGTAATATATTTCCTATCTCTCGTGAGTGACAGGCAATCACTCGACTTCTACCGAAGTCCTGAAGCATAGCAATCTACACGATCCTGTCATACTAGTAAGACTCATAGGATATATATATATACAAGTGGGTTTCATTCAACTTCTTAAAACTTAATGCATAAATATAATTAAAACTGCAGAAAAGTAGGGGTTATGCACCAGGGCTTGCCTGGGTAAAATATAACCAAAAGTTAGTATCAGCATCTTCAGATCATCCACCATCATCTGGATAGAAAGCCCATTGCATCAGCTCCTAGAGAGAATATCATTACACCATCTTCAGATTCCCAATCATCCTTCAATTGATAAATCATCCTTCAATTGATCTGTTGATCCATCATCGTACCTATATGATATGCATTGATGCAAATGCATAGATGTAAATAATCAACGACAGCCGAAACGCTTAGAAATCCGATCACGCCTCACAAGCTAACGAGATAGCTCTAACGCTGGTCTACGTATCCATGTTGTCGAATAAGACGTTATTTCCCAACTAATATTTTAGTTATACAGACCCAAGTTGTTTCTTTATTTCATTCTATCGATTTAATCAGTATTCGAAATAGGGCATCATTATCTATCTAGCAAACCAATTATTTTGGAACTACAAAAACTACAGTGAGTATCTAATATTGCTGGGAGGCTACTGTAGAAAGTTCAGCTCCAACACTATTACCAATTTATCACCACAATTCCTACAAGTTATCTTTTTACCATATTAATACCTTAAATTAATTATATAGCTTCCAAGAATATTATCACACTATGTGGACAAAATAAACTAACAGGCAGATCATGATTTTAGAGACACAACAAAACTGGTTTCACTATTTTATGATTTTTATTTGATTTATTACGGATTTACAAACTTTAGTTATTTTAAACAAATAATAAAACTAGTAGAAAACAAAACACGCACCACAGCCGTATTAGGCCCAGCCGGTCAAGACCGGCCAGCCCCAGGCGAAACCAGGCCACGGCGGCACAAGGTGGCCCAGCGCACGGTAAGGCGCGGCGGCCCAGGCGGGGCACAACGCACGAGCGGCCAGAGGCCCAGGCGAGGAGCGCGGCCAACGGCCCAGCTAGGCAGACAGGCGGCCCACCGGCACGCTCGCCGCAGCGGCCCAAGGCCGGCCCAAGCGCGCGGACGCGGATGGCCCAGCATGCCGGCCCACGCCGCCAGGGCAGGGCAGTGGCGGTGTTTTTGCGTTCAGACCCCCGAGTTTTCCTCAAATCACCTCACAGTATAAACACACTATTTATGTGAGTCTCGTATTTTACAATAAGAACCCTATATAAAACTTCTTCTTGGATCCATACCCTTCTCACCTTTTCTTCATTCTCAAAACAGAGCACCGTTAGGGGAGGGGCATCGGTCGGCGGCGGCGGCAACGGCGCTGTGGGGCAGCGGCGACCGGCGAGGCAACCCCGGCACCGGGCGGCCATGGCGTGCTCGTGCGTGGGCTGAGGGGCACGCGCACGGGAGAGGCGGTGGCGCTGCGGCGCCGGCAGGGCGTCTCCATGCGGCAGGCGGTCGGCTTGGATGAGCAGAGCGCGCTCGCGGTGGAGGCAGGGCAACGGTGGGCGTGGCCCAGGCGGGAACTCGTGCGAGGTGGTCCCAGCAGCACCCGCGAGGCTACAGGGCACAGCGGCCGGCGAGGCAAGCTGAGAAGGGGGCGACACTGTGGAGCAACAAGAACAGCACGGCAGTGGGGGCTCGCGCGCGAGGAAACAGAGTGAGGGCGAGCTGGGGAGGGAGAACAGAGCTGTGGCGTTGGCTTCCTCAAGAAGCAGGGGTAGGAGGCAGCAGCAGCTCGAAGGTGACCGGCCGGCTTGTCCGATAGAGAAAACAGTGGAGCAAGGACAAGCAGCGACAGAAGACAAGCAAGATCAGGGACGAGCAAGGTAGGCCGAGGCAGAGACGTGGGAATTCATGAGTTGGAGCTTTGCTCGCCGGCCATGGAGACAGCAGAGGCAAGGGGGCAGCAGCACTTGCGGCCACTACCCTAAGGACGAGAGCGGACAGAGACAGTACAAGGCAAGCGCGAGGAGCCGTGTAGTTCACCACCAGCCTCATAACGCGGTTCAACTCGATCAAGTGCCTGGACAGAGACTGGGCATTACAGTAGCTAAAGGTTGGATGTCCAGCTAAGCCTGATGAGTGGTAAGTGTTGCATGCACGCACTGGAAACTTCACGTGAGCCACTGCGCTTTTGTACGGCGGACGACACGTCAATCGCAGCAGCAGCAAGACGACGGACGGAGCAATGCAAAACATGGCCAGCGCAGTACGTGGCGTGGCGTGCGTGTGTTTCGCCATTTACTGCTAGAATCGTTATCGGTCACTCCTAAAATATTTCTATGCACTGCGTAAATTAACTTGAGCGTTTATTTAATCTATGAAACTATGTCACACAGGATTCGCTTATCGCATCAAGTACATTTTAAATCAACAATTCTGAGAAACTCGTTTCGAAAATTTTTCTTAGGCCTAAATCACGGTGCTAAACGAGCTCGTAACATCAGGGGTGTTACATGCCAGTGCACCTCGAGCTAGGGATGAATTCGGAAGATTTCACATTTTTTCTTGAATACAAGTATGGAATTAAATAGATAAAAATCATAGAAAATATATCGAATCTTTTCTAGTTTTAGCATCTAGATCCATCCCAATCTTGAGCGTCCAATACTACTAATTTTCCTATTGGGAGTGGGAAAGGAGACCACTAATGTGGTACATAGCGGGCTATGACTTTTAGCGGCCTTCTTCTCTAAAAACTATAAAAACTATAGCAGAGGCTATTTAATTAAGTGTTTTTTATAAAAAAAACATGATATTCTTAATTAATTATGCACAAAAACATTTGATTGAGAAAAAAAATTCATAAATGCAATACTCAAATACATGTATACACTGTAGGAGAACATGTCTCCACGTTAATTACTTGATTCTAGGAGTATTCACTAAATCAATCAATATACTCACGGCAATGACCAACATTCATATTCATTTAGTACTTAATATTCAATGGTTCAATAATTATTTATTAGTCTTTTTTAAAGTAAAGAACGCGGTGGATAGGCATAGATTATACTCTCCTGGAGTAAATAATGGACATTTGCCCTGGACATGATTAGCCGTGCTAAAATATTTTGTGGCTAAGTTAAATAGCGATCGTCCTGTTCGCTTGGCTTATAAGCCGTACTTTTTCAGCCAACGAACAATATTTTTCTCTCACAACAAATCAACCAACAGTACTTTCAGCCATGACTTATCAGCCAAACGAACAGCGCAGATGTTTGGCGGAGCTAAAAACGTTTTTAGTGATAAGTGGAATAATCAGCAATATTATAGTGGTAGATCCTTGAAAAAGCTGTAACAATAGTATAGCAGAAGCTATGACCGTACTATATAACAAAAAGTATTTACAACCACGAAGATCACCGAAGATGTGGTTTTTCTTTCTTTGGTCTTTTTTCCCTGCCCTATATCTGTCTCGGCCGACGGCGTCGGCGAACCGGCGGTAGATTACAGGGCGTACCTGGCCAGGTGTGTTTACTGGCGCAAAATGATCCACGTCAATTTTGACAAATGACAGGTACTGCTGCTAGCACAAAGATACTCGTACTTCTATGGCGTTGCGCAGTGCACGTACGTGCTTGTGCTCACGTGGTTGCTGTTTATTTTTCTTATAAAATAAAAAATCCAACGCTTCTGCCTTCACTAGGGAGTATACTAGGGAGGCAAATGGAATCCATCGAAAGTCCAACACGGGAGGAGCTGAGCACGAGAGTCAGTCAGGCCTTTCAGTGGCCCAAGAGATAAGCTACAAAAGTCAATGGATTAAGCCCACTGAAGCTTAGGCTAATCATGGCAGCCAGCCTTTTTGTGATTTTTTAACTCGCACATATCAGAGTTGCACGAGACGAATACAGAGGAATTGCAGCATGACGGGCCAGCCGAAACATTAATTTGTATTGTTATTCAACTTAATTACACATCGATTTCACCGGTACCCAGTGACCCAGAAATTACCGAAACTTTATTAATCCAGACATGGAATATGAAACGCCCTTAGCAGCAGTAGCAGCAGCTACTCCTCGTGAATAACAGATGCAGAAACATATCACACCTTGTCAAACTATTCCAGCTCCCAAGAGGTCCTCATCCGAGCATAGTATCAGGTTAACACAAAATCGTTGGTTCTACAGATAGAAGCATGTCACCCCAAAACATACACATCTAGCAAAGAGGAGCAACCACCTTACTGTGGTCTAAGCATAATAACTTGTAGCATGCATGTCTCTCTAATTAACTTCTATTACTGTCCGGCAGGACCAACAAGGACTCCCTGCGCAGTGCCTTCCTTCTTGCCACCTTCATCCTCAGCGTCATTGTCAGCCTTCCGGATCCTGATCTTGTATTTGAGCTCAAACTCGGTGATCTCTTTCTTCTTCCTCTCCAGTGCCTCATGCATGCGAGCAATCACCTCTTCAAGGCCCTCCTTATTGCGCTTCACAGCAGGCAGGACCTCCTTGATGGTCCGCTCTACCAGGACGCCACCAATCATCCTGTAGCACCGCCTTGAGGGATCCAGCGGCTCGATCGCACCGATCACAAGGGAGTGCTCACTGACCTCCATCTCCAGCTCTGTGATCTTCGTGTATAGCTGGTTCATTTCGGTACGCATGTTGGCGTAAGTGTTGGCGATTACTTGTTCATTTATGGCTTCTTTGCCTTCACCACCTGTTCTGCTTGCCATTTCCCTAGTGATGCAGATAACCGGAGAACAAAATCACTAATGACAAAACTTGTGAAGAGACAAGCATCTTTTAAGCACAGGTGCTTGCTAAGAGTTCATCACAGCGTTGGAGGCACAAAATAAAACAGTTAAAGCCAAACACATTGACATAGAAGAAAGACATTCCTGTAGCACTAAATAGAAATCTATCATAAACATCACCAAGGAAGCAATATAATCAAACAAGCAGAAACCAAGGATAAGGAGGTTTTTTAAAAAAATAGTGTTATAGTTTAAGAAATATGAGCAAAGGGGGAAAAGAATTTATACGCTATGCTGCCAAAAGTAATGTTCAGCACTTTGTAATCACCTCAACAACTATTTGAGCAATCTTGGTTACCTGCCTCTCATAAATCATACTATCAGAATTTGCCTCATTTTTTGCAGGCAGTATTTGGCTGTGCACAACTAAATAACAGTCCTGCCTATTAAGTGATGAGTAAATTTGTCCTCACAAAAAGAAGTAAGTAGATTTACAGCTTGTTCAAGATGTAAGGAGGAATACGTTATAAGTTAACGATGCACATCCTAGCTGTCAACCGTTTTATGAGTATATAATGGTATAATAAGCATTCAAACACCGGCTTCATGCTCCCTGCTCTAACAGAAATGAGAAATGACAAAAGAGTAACGTACCGAGAAAGGACAATTTGCTAACATCAACATTTAATGAGCATAGCAAATCCTATTAGAGTTATGTGAGCCCAGAAATCAGTAATAAAAATACTACTACATAACACAAACTTGCCAAGAAAGAGAGAAAACTTGCATAGCAGAGCAATTCTTCAGCCTAGCATCTCCTAGCACCATTCTCCGTTACTACTGATGCAACTTTACTGGCACACGATCGATAATCCGGGAAAGAAAAAACAATTCTTCCTCCCAGACACAAGCACTAGCATCACCTCAAAGCAGGACTATTCTGGATGCAAGTGGGAACTGTCAAAAGCTAATTCATGACACAAATTTCTCACAGTGGTTTGTTCAGTAAGAAAGAAACATAGGGACCCCAGACACGAATTTCTCGAAGTTGGTAGGCATAACACATGTATAGACTTGTAATTAGATCAGAATCAGATCCGAGTACATACAGATAGACAAATAGCTCAAGCTAGGGTTGGGGAGCTCGGTTTCGCACAGCAGGAAGGGAGGATAGGGGTGCGCGTACCTGTGGGTGCTCGTTCGTCGCCGGCGAAGGGGCCAGCGGAGACCTGGGCGCCTGGCGTAGGGCGGCGGCGGTCGCGCAGTTGTCCCCACGAGCGAGAGAGAGCACAGCGCGCACGCGGCGTGTACGGGAGAAGAGAAGGCACTGGGCAGTAGGACTTTGCCTGGGCCTGGGGCAGGCCTGAAGTGGGCCTGGATGGGCCTTATTTCCATGAGCCCATGACTGCTTCTGTGGTGAGATAAATTTCGGAGGAAGGACTTTGTAACATAACTGGAAAATACGTATGTTCTGTCGAATTTTCTCCGCGATTTTACGAGTAGAGCGAACAAAAATGTTTCGCAAATCGATCCTTTGAGCATGGAGACGGATGCAATAGAGTAGTTTTGAATCCACACTTATAATACAACATATACTAAACTTGTATCAAATTATAAATTATCACAACCCGAAAACCACACTTGTTAAAACCTTTCCTAACACCCTTGTGAAAGCGTAAATTGTGTTTTGCACCTAAACTTTCAAGCTGCAATCCTAGTTGCAATATGGAAAAGACTTCTTTGTCTCTAGATCAAACAAGATGTGATCACCAACCACCCATTGTTCCGAGATGGCTGTCCTAAGTCGTTTTGATTTTAATCTCCTTGAGGCTGATACCCGATCATCAAACATAGAAACCCCAAATGGAACCCTAACCGCCCTAATATGATGTTTAGTAGCCCACAAGTTCAAGCCACAATGAAGCACGCAGAGACTTGACATAAGATCTCAACTTCAAGAGCAAGAAAGGATCAAGTGCCAGATGCAATGTAACCAAGGCAACCGTTCCGAGTATCTACCAACAAAGGATAACCTGATGGGTAATTTAATTTTACTAGAACAAGAGCAACCTAAAAACGGCAAGCAGAGCATAATATCAAGTCTCAACTTCAACTTTTGTACTTGTGGTACTGTCGTTAAGCTGTTTCAGATAGAACAATGGTGGTCAATTGAGGAAGTCTCAAGTTCGACCGAATTAACATAGGCGAGCCTTTTAAGGGCCCCGTCCCCTGAAAATGGCTCCCATTGTTAATCCATTTAGAGATGGTAGTGTCTCCGTAAATGGATAGACCATCTGTGAAAATTAAAGTGTATTTTTGGACACAATGATATATTCAACCTCTGCTAATCCAGAGATTGTCTCCTAAAATTGTTTTTTAGTAGTGTGTTTATGATACACAGGGGTAATTCATATATATTGTCACTCTCAAAATTTTAACCAGACGTGATACTCTAGGAGTTACAACAACACAACATGCTTAAACCCGGAACAAAAATTGGTTCTTAAAGGGGCTGCGACCCGTTGTTATGGCTTTTTTTAAGTAGGAAGGGTTCTTTTCTATCTTGTTCACTACCTCCGTGTCATCATGTCATGTCATAGTCACTGTTGACATCAACAGGTGATTGGGAAGTTGAAAATCGGATTAGAGATTTAAATACATTGAAAAGGAATAGATTTGGGCTAAAAAGACAACCTAGTAAAAACTGGCCTAGACCGGTTTACCTATTCAACGACCCGCAACAAACAAAACCGACCTAGGCTGTTTTCTCTAGCCTTCGGTTGCACCCCCATGTAAACCAACTTGAGCTGGTTTCCGCTGTTCGAGCTAGTTTCAATCCTAACTCGACGGGAACTTGTCCAATCTCGTGGAAACTTGCAGACCTTGTTTGGAAAAGGTTCACTACTAGGATAATGCCACCCCTTATATATATATATATCAAAGAATCACGACCGACTGAGATAATCTATATACAATCGATCAAAAAATGAATCTACTACTACCCTATTCTCCAAATGAGATGTTTGCAACATCACCTATAATTAATATATAAGTTTTTATATATAGAAAAGCTAATGAAAGTTTGTTAGTAGATGCTTGTGTTTATGCCATGTAATACTTTTAATAATTGGTGATAGGTAATGTGATTGCTTGGTTATAGTTAGGAGTTGCATGGAGCTGCATATATAGCAACAAAATGTTAGTTGTTAACAACATAAATGGTAAATGCATATAGTTGTATCTCTGCTGTTAGGGCTGCATGCACAGTTTTTGTGGTGGTGATATTTTCGTGATACAAATGATGTTTTCTATAGATATGTTGAATACAAAAAGTAATAGATAATTTTCTTATCTTGATTGTCCTAAAATTTTATGATTTTAGTCCTGATAGTTTAGGAGTTATAGATTTTATAAGTTTGCTATCAGCTTTTGCATATGCTCTGTTCAGATCTAAAAGGTTGTGTTGTTTGACTAAGCTAAGCTTTGAATCACCTCTTGATGATAATAAAGAAGTTTGTTTACACCAAAATTTGGGAAAGAAGAATGCAGGAACTCAAGGCTTATAAAATTACATCATCAGGGGATCGATCGGGTGTGAATCGAGGTCAGCTGATTTTGATGCAGTGTCGGAATCGGCTATTTTATAGATGACGTCAGCAGACAATATCAACGGACTACGTACGGATGGCGTCAAGGGGGAAAACACGTCGGACTCTACAAAAGAGAAATATTATGGTCCAAATTATCTTAAGTTAGGAATATTTTCTCTTATATCAAAGATTGTAATAAGTCGTACTTGAGTAGAATTCATGTTTAGGTTCCTGATATAAATATTGGACCCCGGCTATTGTAAAAAGCATCCCGAATCAATCAATATCAATTACTTTTTTCGGCTTCACGCCAACCTTTAGGAGTAGGAGTACTGTAGATCTTGGCGAGTTCTTCAATAAGCAGTCATGGCTTATACTTCTGTTTGTAAGGCTGCATCAGTCCGGTCGACCTCTTGCGAGCTCTAGTATAAGCTAGTTATCGATCCTTATCTAGTTCAAGTACGGCTGTATCGGTTAAGTTCGACCTCCACTGCTCGAATTAGATTAAGGTCAAGTTATCGGCTCTGCCTAAGGGTGGCATCCTTCGGGTAGATTCATTAAGTTACCGATATTGTTGATGTTCCTGTTGTCATTAGTTTCAGCAATATCAACCTGCTCGATCGAGATCGATCTAGATCGACCTTACATCCTTTTAGTTCATCGTTTATTTTGTCGCATTGTGATGGTTCTTACTTTAAACGACGGATTATGTTTTATCGGTTGTTCTACTTCGATCTTGATCGTGCATAGTACGCGGCTAAGGCATGTCCGATCTTGAGAAGGTTTACTAGCTAGTTGAATCTGGTTTACATCTCGCTATTATGGCTGTAATGATCCGGTCGATCCCCACTGTTAGCACTTTAAATCGGAGTATGCTAGTTGGTAGATTTGCTTTCTACTAGGCATGACCTTGGCTGTTTGCTATGCCTGCATCAGCTAAATAGCCAATTGCCAGTACTCTAATGCTTATGGTGTGTCTTCATGATTCTATTAAATGTGAATAGATCTGTTTATTTTAAAGGTTTGATCTGTTATCTTTATCATGGCTGCCATCGATCCGATCGAACCCTACTGTTAAGGATAATAGGTTAGATTTGATGAGTTTATAGGTCTGTCTATATTAAACAGTCGATTGTTCACATGCTGTAATCCCTTCTCTACCTGAATCGGCTATTTTAGCCGATTCGCCCGCGCTTTCACAGATATGGCACGCTTTCATGAACTCGTTGAAGTATGATCGGTTCTATGAATTTTATGGTTCTAGATTACTATCATCATCATAGCTGCATCGATCCGGTCAAACCTCACTATTGATGGTAATAAATTAGATCTAGACAGTTCGTAGGTCTGTTTATATTAAACAGTCGATTGTTTGCTTGGTATATGCTT